TGATGCCTCTGCTCTTTCCAGGGCTTTATCTCTCTCACCCATATCCCACCTCAGACGGCTCAGTGTGGAGTGGGAAGGGAGGCAGCTAATTGCGCCCCCCTCCCCCCGCTCGTAGCTGGTCACCTGGCCCCTCCTCCTTCATTCATCTCAGGCCAGCAAACGGTTCTAAGAACCAATAGTACATTTAGGAATCGGTTCTATAGAATAGGTGCGAACCTGCTGAATCCCACCTCTGGATTTACTGTCCAAGCTACAGGAAGAATGTCCACCTTTCTCTCTCTGAGGAACCACAATAGTTCATTTTCTCTCCTTCCCTCCTTGGTACTTACCTGGGGACGCCTTTGTGTTCTGTTGAAGGGTTTTTCGCATACCAGCTTTCATAAAGAGATTTGCCTTCAAACCCTTCATCAGGGCTTGGTATCTGTAAAAACATAAAGACGACATGTTGCATTCATGAGAAAGGAAGGCAGTGTGTCTATTTATCACTGGAAGGACAGATCCTGAAGCTGAGGCTCCAGTGCTTTGGCCATCTCATGAGAAGAGAAGACTCCCTGGAAAAGACCCTGATGCTGAGAAAGTGTGAAGGCAAGAGGAGAAGGGGACGACAGAGGACGAGATGGTTGGATAGTGTCATTGAAGCGACCAACATGAATTTGACCCAACTCCGGGAGGCAGTGGAAGACAGGAGGGCCTGGCATGCTCTGGTCCATGGGGTCACGAAGAGTTGGACATGACTTAACGACTAAACAACAACATGCTCTTCCTACTGGAGGCAACCTATCGGTACAATCTTTACAAGAACTCTTGTAAAGGAGAACTCCTGTCAAATATGGAAAAATTTTCACTTCTTAACATCTGTTACACATAGGCTGAAGATAAAGTGAATGGCCGATCACTCCAATGGCTTCTATATTCCCACAAAGCAAGAATCTGCTCTCGTTCTTCCCATATTTGCCCCCAAAAGACTGAATCTTGAGATCTCAACAGAGCAAACGGGAGATATCACATGTTTCCTTTCCTTTCCTATGTAAACTAAGGATAAGAAATGTGTTTGAGTCTATTTATTTGTAAGATTAGGTTCATATTTGTCCACGTTTTGGATGGGAAGAACATGAGCTTTCTTTTTTTAAAATGGCATTGGGGAGCAACCAACATGAACAGATTTACCCATCTAGGTTTGAGGCTTTGAATAACATATTCAGTCATGTTAACACTGAAACACAACTGCAATCTTTCTTTCTTTCTTTCTTTCTTTCTTTCTTTCTTTCTTTCTTTCTTTCTTTCTTTCTTTCTTTCTTTCTTTCTTTCTTTCTTTCTTTCTTTCTTTCTTTCTTTCTTTCTTTCTAGGAGCCCTTTCTCTGTCAATGCAGCAAAGCTTTGTTATTTTTGTTACCTACACCGCAAGCATTTTTGATCACTTTTATCCAAAATAGACCGAAACAGAGTTCCTGTCGACCTTAGAAACAGCTCTACCTGTTGAATTTCCATTCAATTTGTTTTTGTTTTTTTTAAAGAAGGAGCGACATTTTACAATTTCTTCACGTGTGGGATGCAAACAATATAGACATGGTAGGAAGCTCCCGTTACTTGTCACAGCTCCTGCC